AATTACATTCCATCTCTTCATGTGAAGGTGGTAAGGTCATATTGCAGAAGTGCTTTTGGGGTGGGAACATACTGCTACACTCATCTTTGGAAAATACAAACTGCCAAAGTAGGATTATACCTCTTTATAGCTAGTCACATACTGCATAATGACCTTTCAGTCACTGAGGACCACATACAGGTAGTCCCATAGAATTATAATGAAGCTGAAAAACCCCTACCACTTAGTGACACTGTAGTTGTCATAACATCATAGCACAGTACATTACTCACATTTGTGGTGATACTAGTGTAAACCAATCTATTGCACAGGGGCTGGGGGTGTCATTTAGTGGTAGAGCATTTGAGTAGCATGTGTGAGGCCCTGGAATTGATCCCCAGCACCGCACAGACACAAAAATATAGTAATGCAAAATTATATAGTAATGCACAAAAATATAGTAATACTTGGTGGTAAAATAAACAACATGTTTCTGGTTTATATATTTACTAGACTATTTATTTTAGTATTTATTTATTTATTTATTTATTTATTTATTTATTTATTTAGTTAGTTAGTTAGTTTTAAGACAGGGGTCTTACCATGTAGTCCAGGATGACTCCAACTCCTGAGCACAAATGATCCTCCTAATTTAGCCTCTGGAATACCTGGGACTACAGGTGTGCACCACTGTGTCCACTCATTATTTTAAAGTGTAAACCTTGCTACTTAAAAAAATTAAAAAATTTACTGTAAAACAGTGTGCTATATTACGCCAGCAGCAGCCTTATCCATTGAATTCTTTTGATTGCACCAAGGGGACACATTAAGTAATCAACCTAGATCATATAGTTCTGTGTAAGTACACTCAATGATGTTCGCACAATGACTAAATTGCCCACCTGATGCCCTTCTTAGAAGCTATTCCTAGTGTGAAATGACGCGATTGAAGTTGTAGCCCAAGTGGTTTGCTCTGACCAATGAAATGCAAATAGAAGTGATTTGTGTCACTTTGGATTCAGGTTTTAAAGATTATCGTATATTTATTACATTTTATTTTAATGCCTGCCATTGTAGAAGCACAAACTGAAATGAAGCTCCTGTCATACTAGGACCTTAAGTGACTATTATGAATAGAAATGCCCCCCCCCCAACAACCAGTGTTGGACATGTATACATGAGGAATAAACTTTTGTTGTTTTAGGACACTGAAATTTGGGGATTATTTGTTACTACAGCATAACTTAGCCTATGTGGACCCCCCTTTTGTATCAGGGATTAAATCCCGGGGTGCTTAACCACTTAGCCACACCCCAGCCCTTTTTTAAAATATATTTTGAGAAAGGGTCTCACTAAGTTGCTTAGGCCCTTGCTCAGTTGCTGAGGCTGGCTTTTTTTTTTTTTTAAGTACTAAGGATCAAACCCACTGAGCTATATCTCTAGTCCTTTTTATTTATCTATTTTTATTTTGACACAGGGTCTTACTAAGTTGTTGAGGCTGGTCTCAAACTTGAGATCATCCTGCCTCAGCCTCCAGTTTCTGGAATTACAGGTGTGTGCCATCATGCCTGGCAACAAGTGGTAATAATTCTTATATGCTGTTCTGCACCTTGATTTTTTTTTCATTTACTAATGTATCTTGGAGAGTATTTATATAAGTACAGGAGTATTTATATATAAAATATATATATATATATTTATATAAATAATATATATTTATTACTGGAACTAGAATCCAGGGTCTAGCATGCTAGGCAAGAGTTCTACCAGTTAGCTACATCCCACTTCATCCACACTTTTCTTTTCAATAGCTACACAGTATTCCTGTAAAGGAAAGGGGGTGAAATTTTTCTTAACCAGTTACTATTAAGGACAATTAATACAATCTATATTTTGTGCAGTGAATAACCTTGAGTATTTCTTCTTCTGTTTGGGTGCAGTAATATTCGTAGGTTAGATTCCTAAAATGCATATCTCAGATGATTGACAGATTTCCCTTTTAAAAGACATCAGCTTGGCTGTAAGTAGAGAATGGCTTGAAAAGCCAGAACCTGAGAGTTATGACACCTTGACTCCTTATCAATTGCCAAGTTCTGTTCATCCCAGCTCCATGACAGCTCTCAATCTGTCCATTTGGATGCATACCCTGGCTGCTGTCCCAGAATAAGGAACTATCATTCCTTTCATGATTCCTCCTAAAAGGTCTACCTCCTATCTTAATTAAGATACTTACCTGCAAGAAAGTCAAGCCAGGCTGAGTGTAGTGGCCCATGCCTGGAATCCCAGCCACTGAGGAGGCTGAAATGAGACAGGAGGATTGTAAATTTGAGGACAGCCTCAGCAACTTAATAAAGCCCTGGCTCAAAATAAAAAAATGAAAAAGGGCTGGGATGTGGTTCATAGGTTAAGTGCCCCTGGGATTCAATCCCTGAAAAAAAAAAAAAGCCAGGTTCAGAGAAACTTAGGCAACCAATGACTTATTGAACAGCTCCAGTGGTGCTTGCTAATTCCCTTTCCCCAGAAGGGCCTGGCTTGACCTCCTCCCTCTATACCCTACAATGCGTTCTAAATGTTGCTCCTGATGTGTTGATCTGTTGCTTGGCTTCAAAGACCTGGTTGGGAACATGCTACAGCTGCCAGGGATCTAGGAAAGAAAATTTTATTTTCCCTCTTTGATCTCCCTAGTGGAAAGCAGAACCTGCCTCTGTATCACATAGGATTTCTTCCAAATAGATGATGAAAATGAAGATCTGAAGATGCTGGGCACCAAAACAACAGGTGACCACCAATCAGGGGTAGTCAGCTCCCACAAAGCAGCCCAGAGCCCTTTGCGGATCCTCCTCTGCTTAAAATCTCCTAGAAGACTCCTTGCTAACATTAGAATGAAATTTAAACACTTTACCCAACTTCCAATCATATCCCTGATCCAGAAGCCTCCTAAGGCTTTAGCCTTATTTACTTTCCCTATGGGGGAAAGTAAACACCACAATGTGCACCTTTAAACTCTAGCCCCAGGCTCTGTCCTCAGGTGCTGAATACCTGAGCCTCTCACAGTTCTCTACAGATCTTTGAACAAGCAGCATCCCTCTATGCTGAAGGCTTTTTCCTTCCTCACTCCATTAATTTGAAACCTCCATGTTCTCATTAATCCAGGGGTCTCACTTGAACACAAAAATCTTCACTGCCCTTTGTCCCCTTGGTCACTCTAAACTACCAAATGTGTCCTAGATACATCCACTTTTCTCCATCTCTGCTGCCACCCTGTTAATCTAAACCACCATCCACTCTCTCTGGACATTCTGTAGCCTCCCAGTTGCTGTCTGCTTCCACTCTTGGCTAAGAGACCATTAGTCAGAGTGATCTTTTTAAAGTGTAAATCATTTTCCTTATGCCTTACTTAGGAAAACCGACTCCTCATTATGAGCTACGAAGTCTTCCTTGATTTAGCCAGTTCTATTGCTACTTCTGTCTCACGTTCCTCCAGGGAGATTTTGCACTTGCTATTGCCTCTGCTGGGTCTACTCAAATATCACATCCTGAGGCCATCATGACCCTTATCTTTATTGAACCTAAGGCATGGAGCACATGCTAATAAGCACATGCTCTACCACAGGCTAAGTCCCCAGCACCTGGTCTTAACCCCACTTAGGACTCTCTGAAACCAACCATTTAATTGTTTATTTACAGGTTTATTACCTTTACTTTCCCACCTCCCCTTCAAGCATGTAAGCAGGTAGCTTGGCTCTCTTGCTGACACCACTGTACTCCTCAACACCTGACTTGGTACTGGGACAACGCGGGTGCTTTATAAGTATTTTTGGGGTGAATGAATAGGGATCAGAGAAACCCAGTCGAATAGACTCCGCCTTACTCGCTGACTTTGGACAAGTCTCCGTTTCCTGCTGTGTAAAGTGGGGATGCAGGAAGTGGGGTGTTGAGCTAGAAGTGTTGACGAGCTGTGAAATTTGGGCCTTGTTTTCCCCCTAGTCTTCGGCCTGCAGCCAGCCACTCAACCTCCGGCGCCTCTGCTCCCCACCTGTAAAATGGGTGTGAGCTCATCCCAATGTCTAGGGGTGGTAGCGCGGCCTTATAAGGCAACAGAGGCCGAGGGCGGGCGAGGCAGTGAGGGTGGAGAGAAATCACAACATCCGGCTGCGGAGGCGGGGTGGGGGTGCCAGCGGCCGCGGGACCCGAGGCAAGGGAACCGCTAAGGAGGCCAGCAGTCTCCTCTCGGCCTCCCATCGCTTCCGACCTACGCCCTCTCCAGGATGGGCCGACCCAGGGGCACACACGGCCTCAACCAGCTCGCAGCTGGCACGCAGGAGGCCCAACACCCCGAGAAGCAGCCCAAATAAACCCTATCGAAGAGCCAACCGCCGAGCCCCAGGCTCCCAGGCCACACCCCCGTCTGAGGGCCCAATCAATGTGCTTCTGTGAATAACCGACGCTTCCTTCATTCAGTTGCACATCCGGCCTCCTGGGCGTGACCCACGGTCCCCACCTCCGACTCCCCGACCGAGGGCTCGGCCCTAATTGACAATTCGACGTCCTACCCAGGTCTAGAAATTCGAACCTCGGAGCCGAACCCCGCCCTCAGGCCAACCAGGAAGGGGTGACGCGATCAGTCCCGTCCCCCCCACCCCGCTCCTCTGAGCCAATCCCTGACTCTGGAGGCGGTGACGAAGAAGAGGGGGGCTAATGGGAAGACGGCGCGGGGAGCATTCCCTCGGTTATTGGTCGAGTAAAGTAAACAGAGGGCGGGCCGGGGCGGGCCGGCGCCCGGG